TTTTACGTCATCACTCTTTGTGAACACCAAAGAGGTTATAAATAAAACTAGAGATCTTAGCTGTGACGTCACGAGACGAGTGTCAAACTGGAGGGGATCGCCGCCATTCCGGAGAGGAATAAAAGGCCAGTCGGTGCACAGCAACACTTTTCAATCACGGATTAATGATACTCTGCGACGTCTTTAGAAGTTGATTTCATTATCATGTGATCTGCCTATCGCTAAAATGTATTCATGTGGATTTTTTTGACCATTTACCTTTAAATGAGGCAGATCATCTCCAAATAATGCATTTAGGGCCTTTACTCGGTGAGACCATATTATGGGTGCGTAAAATTCAGAAAAAAAATAATGAGATTGACTAGATGATCACTTGTTGAAATAAAAAAAACATAATTTAATTGAAATCTTTTGCTGTGCATCCCCTAAACAGAATGTGTAGATTTAGCACCGCTGACCACAACAAGGCGCTTGTTTTGTAGGCCAAAAGAGGGCCCATTTAAAGGGCTGTTAACTCGGTCATCTTTCGACTGGTTTCAACACCCTGTATTCAGAAAACTACATTTTCAGGGAGGAGTTCCGCGGAGGCCTGGCACTTACCATGACAAGGTCCACTGAGCAAACTATACAAGAGTTAGGGTTAGGGTAAGGGTTAGACCTAGGGTTAGGGTTACGGTTTGGGTTAGGGTAAGGGTTCATGTTAGGGTTTGGGTTAAGGTGTGTTGTAGGTCGGCCGAAGAGAGAGAGAGAGAGAGAGGGGGGGGGGGGAGACAGAGAGAGAATGTTTGGGTGTTGATAAGGAAATAGGCAAACAAATAGATGGAGATCTAGATTCTAGATCTACTATGCCCTAGATCTAAGCCAAAGAACAGTCAGGAAAAAAAACGTGAAGGAGGTGATGAAAATAGACATAGATTCTATATGCGATGTATGAAGGTTGTAAAACTGCCAAAACGTCTTTTACTATTTAACCCTGGTCACCAACATGGCTCCTAGATCCGCACACACATGTGATCGGCACTCCTGTACAATTGCGGTCCCGTTTGCTTTGCATTAAATCACACTAGATCTAGATTCTAGAGCTAGATATCTAGAGATCTAATCTAGATCTAGATCAAGATCTAAAAGATCTACCCCCTTTACTATTTTTTAAACGTTTTTCTTATTTAGACCTAAAGTCTAGATCTAAATCTAAACTGAATTAAAATTATCTAGATCTAGGCGTGTAGGCTTAACTAATAGTAATAGTAATAGGCCTGCCTAGATCTAGATCTAGATTTTCTATAGAATCTAATAAGTCTAATAAAGACGATCTAATACACTGTATCTAGATCTAGAATCTAGTCTAATACTTCACCGATCTGTCAGCAGTTACCCGGCATCGAACGTCGAAGCTTCTTCCTTTGATGTGTACATCTAGAAGATCTATAGGTTCTAGATCTAATCTAGATCTAGATCTATTGACTACCAAAACAAAAGGGTGCTGACCATAGGCCTAGCGTAAACAATATTTTATTCTAGTTGATTAGATCTCTAGATCTAGATCTAGGTTCTAGGCGTGTAGGCTTAACTAATAGGCCTGCCTATAGACTATAGAATCTAGATATATCTAGATCTAGATCTAGATCTAATAAGTCTAATCCAATACTTCACTGATCCGTCAGCAGTTACCCGGCATCGAACGTCGAAGCTTCTTATCTTTGATGTGTACATCTAGAATCTAGATCTAGAATCTAGATCTAATGATGTTTGGCATATTCCAGATCGGATTCTTCCCAAAGACAGTATTTAGTTTTAGTAAAGCCATAGATCTAGCCAGAATGTGGACTCAGCTGATGATAGCAAACTGTCAACAAAGAATTTTAAATGGCAGCGCGTCATCCAACTTTGAAAATGGGTTGGTCACTTCGAAACCAAAGAATTAGTTTAAGATCTTTGTCTAGAATCTAGATTTCTAGATCTAGAATCTAGAATCTAGATCTAGATCTAGATCTAGAATTTATACAATTTGTAATTTCGTCTAGAGTCTAGATGGTGAGGTTCCCGGAAAATTCATGAAACTATCTAGATCTAGCGCTTGGGGGTTGAAATAATTTTAATTACGAAAATATAAATTGAAAAGAAAAAAGCGAATAGAGTAATGAAAAAGTGAAAAACAAGGGACGTAATAATAAAAAAATTGAAAAGAAAAAAAAAGCGAATATTAGAAAGCGAAGAATAAGGGACATAACAATGAAATTAAGAAATGGTAGCCTGCTAATTACTCCCCTTTACGGGACCAGCAACGTCATCGTTCTTTGTCTACGCACCTACGTCATCATTCGATGAATACACATATATCATCAACGTCAGCGTTCTTTGTGTAAATACTACGTCATCATTCAATGAGTACAGATACACGTCATTGTTCTTTGTGTAAATACTACGTCACCGTTCATTGAGTACACATATACGTCATCATTCAATGAGTACACACATATGTCATCGTTCTTTGTGTAAACACTACGTCATTGGTCATTGTGTACACATAAAATCTTACAAAAGCTTGATTTTGTTGTATCGTTTCGCTAAAAGCACGTGGGTTAGGAGAGCAGTAATTATCACGAATAAAATGTTATTTTAGAGAATGAGTGACTTGTTAACTTGTTTTGCATTAGAAATTACCTTCTTCTGTCTGTATAACGTAATATGTTTTTTAAAATAAATTATTTTTTTCCGTGCGTATTTCCGGCTCAAGCAAAGATGCTACACTAATTAGTACTTCATTTCGCGGAAGTGGTGTCACCCATGTAAACGGAAGTGATGCCACCCACTCTGAGACATAGAATTAAGGGGGTGAAAAGCGCGGATCAACCGACGAATTAGTAGCCAACTTTTCGAGACAGAATAGTGGTTTTTAGAATGCTAGAGCTTGTGGGAAGCAGGATGGGGGTTCAGAGATTGTACATGTAAATGGGGGCACGCCGGCCATGCCAATAAGAGTAAGAAAGTACCCATGTCTGACACATAGAACGTCACGATGTGAGCTATTGTATTAGGCTATAATCTTTGGATTTGAGTTAAGGAAGATAACCCTAAAAAGCCACCCCTTCAGTATTTTTCACGGTTACCTCTCTTTGACCATATTTTGAATATTATTTCAATCTAATCTGACATCATTTTTCTCACGCAGAATTGTTTTGATGTGCTAGATGGATAGAGTTCATTTTTCTGAGAAATTTGATACCAAAATCACCAATATTACTTAATTTTTCAGCCAGTTACAGATGTTCAAATTTCGGTTAGATCTACATTTGTTGGGCATTCCTAGAGGATCTATTTGTTGTGGCCTTCATCTAAGAGACCTAGATCTAGATCTAGATCTAAATCTAGATTCTAGATCTTAGATCTATTTTTTTGTTGACAAGTGAAAATAAGCCAGGCTGGGTTTGGTACCTCAGTGACTAGATTCTAGATCTATCTGGAGGAAACTAAACGACTCCTTAAACGTCTAAGACTAAGAGAATGCTTTTGGTTGCTAGATATCTAGATATGGCCAGGGCGGAATCACAAGCGGCTAAGGTACACAAAGCCAAACAGCATAATCTTTAAATTTAAAAAAACAAACTCAACGAAACTCGTGTAGATCTAGATCTAGATCTAGATCTACATTATTAGTTATAGAATGGGCTAATCTACCTTACCACCTGTAGGCATGTCATCACTGGCACTGCTTGAACTTGAATGCACGACTTGCAGTGGTCTAGATCTAGATCTAGACTTGATTTCTATAATAGATCCAAACCTAAAATCTAGGTCTAATATCTAGATCTAGATCTAGATCTAGAATCTAGATCTAGATCTAGATCTAGATTTTCTAGGCCCACTTGAAGTCGATGCACCAACACGCCACACGTGAATTTCAAGTTTGGGCGCCAGGAAGAGTGTATTCAAATACATGTATCCGGTTCATTGCAATAAACATCCACTCCCTATCCACAAACATTTCCCTCCCGAGGCTGCTGTCCACATTGTTAGAAAAGGCTTGATCTAGAATTATCTAGAATTATCTACATATCTATTAGATCTAGATCTAGCAACTTATGACGATGTGCGAAAGTGAAAGGCTGAAGCGCACTGTTGAATACCAAAACAACAAACAACCCCAACAAAGAACCCCACCCCTCCCCCCCAAAACCCCACAACAACAACGGCGGCAAAAAAAACACAACAACAACCCCCGCCCCCAGCAACAACCCCCCTCCCCCTCTCCGGGAATGATAGAAAAAAGGAGACTGGTCTTTTAATTTATTATACACACCAAACGGAACAGTTTGGAATCTGAGCCAACCCATGTTGTGTTGGTGTAATGATTCAGCATGATCTCGCGATTGCAAATTGCGGGACGCTAAAAGAACTAGAAATCTAGATCTAGATCTAGATTATATTGGGCGACTTTGTAGTTTCGCTCGTTAAAATGAAGAGTAGGGGGGTTTCAGGGGGGGCTTGCCCCCCTGACCTAATAAAAATATGGAGGTGGGGGGATTCAGGGCGTGCCCCATGTTATCCTAATTTGATGTTTTGCTGTTAGGTTGCATCCCTGCTCTTTGTGCAGCCTATTTCAAATAGTATTTGGTCATCAAGACTTCTGGATTTCTTCTCTGGATGTAAACAAATAGATCGTGGACATAAACAAACGGAACTACAAGATCACTGAGAACTACTGTTAGGCCTACACCATAAGGCTGCAAAAGCTCTCTTTCCGTAAAATCAACCGACGATCAATTACTGCGATTAACGAACTACAATGTATTAAACATATGTGTTCTCATAGAACAATGCCGTACACTGTAAATGTTTACACTAAGAACAATGACGCAAGAAGTTGTGCGTACCATACTCTCTAAACGATGGCGGACGTGTCTTCGCAAAGAGTGATGACGTAATAGTCCATGTGTATTCAATCTCTATGATTCAATCAGAGAGTATTTAATTATATTGGTCATGTCATTCTGTGTTACCTTACTGTCCTTTGCAATGCAACTCAATTGATTTACTTGGTATGAACAATAAAGACAATAACTTTTCTTCCCTTTAAAAGAAATCTACGCAAGAGGCCATATTACGGAGCTCAAATTTTGGTAGGAAGCCTGACGAAAATATTGGAGGCCAATCGATTTTCCAGGTGGCCAAATTTCAGAAATTTGGCATTCAGGAGGCCAAACTGGCAATTTTCGCTGCAGCTGCTTTCGATTACTAAACCCAGATTTTGTTCTCTGTCAAGGTCAAAGATGTTTATATATATTCATATAAATTTGTTTTTACACAAGGAAGATAAAAAAAAACCCAACTCTTATTGAAACAATTTCAGTTTTAAAAAAAATCTAAGTTATATCAGCCATTTCTAAGAAACTCTTATCCGTTAAATAAAAATATTATATCAATATTTGCGGGTCTTTTTTGGGCCTAATTTCACGCTGTGTGCGAATTGAGCTATGTATATTTCCACGTTTTTAAGAATTAAAACTTATGACGCACATTGAAACATCAATAAAATATATAGATTAGCTGTAATTGTTGTTCTCTTTAATTGTCATCGAACAACAAAGAAGTAGGTTTTTAAAAATATCTAATTGAGTTTAAATGTACATGTGTAGTTGCGAAGTCAGAATTATTTTAATAAGCAGCTGTAGGTCTTGGCTTTTGCATATATTTCGCAAACCTAGTGGAAATATATATCAGAGAAAAACACCAAACGGAAACAATAATAGCCTAATTAACGAAACAATTTTAAAAGCAAGCGGCAAGCAGGGCAAGGAGAAGTACTGAATCGAAAGTAGAACTTCGGATTGCAAAATGATTTTTCATGTAGGTCTAGATCTAGATCTACTTGAGTTTTGTTTGAATGCAACGTTCCCATATAATCTACTGTGTTTTGAGACCTAGACTAACTTCCATTCAAGCAGAAAAAATGGTAACAATTTTGTCTTGTACTGCTCTAGGTTTATCCCCGATTCAAATGAATAAATGAATGTGTCACAAGTCACAAGTCACAAAGAAAGTCGTGGTGGAATCAGACCAGTCACCAGGCCAGGCGCTCGCCAATTTTTGGGCATAGATTTCTATATATGGGGTTATTCACCATTGGTGTCATCTGAAAGCTTGTTCATTTGCCTTCCTTTAGATAAAAAAACAAACCTCCATTTATCTTGAATAGAAATTGAGATATATTTGTGATTGAAGGAGGGGGTATCGCCTGGTTTCACTTTCAGAGGTAAAATTTGTGAGAATATGCCCGGTTACTCTGTACCTGTACGTATAGATCTACACTCCGAAAAGCAAAACTGACGGAAAAAAGTCTGTTTCTTAAATATTTCATTATTTTGACGAGTGCCTGATTTTACTACGAATACTACGATACCTCTTACAATTAGGCTACCCAAGCCTTCATTTTGTCTTTGTCAATTTGATTCATTTTTAAAAATTAGTTAAGGATTCTTTACAATTTAAGTCCAAAATCTAAAGACTTTACTTTTTAAGGTCCAGTAAGTTTTTTAATGTTCAGTTTCTGTATTTTTGCTCTACTAATGGTTGCCTTTTCTATGCAATTACCTTTCTCTTAATACTATGATTGTGTTTTACTTGCAGCTTTAGAACTGTTTTTTCATGTGAAATTTCAGACTGACAAAGGAGCACACTACATATTTGGAAAAGTGGTTCATACGAGCATCTGAGGATTGGGATACAAGTCACATCTACCAAGCATGATAGTGTTTTCCCTTTAAGTGCTCTTTTCTTGTACATGGACTAGGGAAACCGACAGAGTGGTCACTGTCTTCATCTCCGGCATTACTCCCACTGTCTCTGATTACTTTGGGTACTCCAGATAGGGAGTAAGTTACGATGTCTTTTGACTGACGTTTCAAGGAGCAAGAACCGACCATTAGCAACATGTCGGCGAAGGATACTGGCTCGGCAAGAAAAAGAGGGAGGCCCAAGAAAGTGACAACTGCCCCAGGCTACAATGTTTCTTCTAGTTCGAACGGTCGCGTTCAACAATGTGAAGTGACTCCAGCTGATGGTGTGGAGGCTAGAGCAAAAGGTGTGCCGACTGCTCCGACCGATGTAGCCAACAAGGCACAGGGAGACATAATTACACCCTCAAGGCCTGTTCGTAATCGAAAAAAGAAAACATATGACGATTTCTTCATCTTTGACAAAGCTGGAGGAAAAGCAGTTTCTGGAAAAAGAGAAGAAAATGTTGCTGCTTCTGAAGTTGATAAAACTCTGAGGGCATCAAAAGAATCTGCAGCAAAATCACCCCTGTCAACTCCTGTAGGGGATTTAGTTGATGGCAGTAATGAAACCAGATTGGAACAAACTGTGTCTAGTCATATTAAATGTTCTCAGGCGTCTGCAGGTATTGTCACGTCTCCAGCAAAGGGGGAGGACGTACAATGTGATGTAGAGGTCAAGGCCACTCTCACAGCTTCATCAAGCGATGTCCCCGCTACTGTGGGCAAAAAGAGGGGAAGGAAAAAAAAGACTGAACTGAATTCAAATGACTGTAATTCAGATCTGCCTTCAGCGTCTTCTTTGAATTGTTATATGGGGAGAGTGAATGCTGCAGAGAGTGTGCCGGGAACAGGGAAAGACTCGACAATGCAAGGATCAGGATCCACTGTCGATGGGCTTAATGACCTGGCAATGGACAGCGCTGTGAGAGTTGGCGTTATGGCTAATTCTGGGAGCGGGCGATTAAGGAATTCGGGATCACAGAGGAAAGGAAGAAAAGCTGGTAAGACTTTGGATGACTCTGACAGTAAAAAGGACTCCAGTTTCAGTAAGGATGTGACTCGTGGTTCCTGTGTACGACGCAGTGACAGAGCGAGAGTGAAGAAGCGATATGTTGAGTACGACGAGAGTGGTAGCGAGGGCAGCGAAACATCGAGTTCTGAAAGCTCTGCTTCTGATGATACGAGTTTCCCACCGGCTAAAAGGGCCCGACTCGATGTGGAGGATGACACACCAAAGACTTCTCGGAAACGAGGCAGGCCAAGGAAAAATAATTCTGTTTCTAAGGTTAGCAATGTAATCGAAATCCCTGAAGATGTCAAAGAAACCTCTCCGCTGAAACGAAAACGAGGAAGACCGAGGAAAGACAATTCTGAAGTTAAAGTAAAAGTGTCTGATGTCGCGGATGCTTCCTCTGCACCAGATAAACTAGGGACACAGAGGAAAGATGTCTTTGATGCAAGCATTAGTGGTGTAGAAGAAGACAGTGTTCTCATCGAGGGCGAGTCCCCGGCCCCACGGAAGAGAGGGAGGCCAAAAAAAGACAACTCAGGAAGCAGTGCGAAGCAGGCAAAGGCTGATGACGAGCGCCCAGTGCCACGTAAACGCGGACCAGGAAGATGGAAAAAAGTTCTCGACACTGATGACGAGGCCTCAGATGATGATGAGGTAGGCCTGTGATCGATTGTAATGGTTCTCCAATAATTAATCTATTTTTTGTGTTGCTCTCACTTTTTTTGGTTCCTTTTTTATGCTCCCTCAGAGGACAAATAGAAAATCTAATCAACGATTATCGTTTTGTGATACATAGAATTTTTTGGTTAACCCCTTCTATATAATTATATAATGCTTGAATGGTTTTTTTATATTGATAACATAATAATGGACAGTGACCTCTGCTGCACTTACCGTATTAAGGCAGAGAATAGGGTGGGAGGTTGAAATGAGA